ATATATATATATATATATGTGTGTATGTATATATTATTTTTTATATATTTATTACTTATATGCGCTGACAGAAATCTTTAATACTTATGATTATTATTGCATGATAAAAATTGTAATTCCATTTTTACAGTTATTTTTTCTATAATGTATAATAATACAATTATATACAATTATATAATTCTAAAAAATATGTACTTGAACATTGAAATAAATTCATTTTAATTGACATCAATTATAAATTATCATAATTTCATTATAATTTATAATTGATATCAATTAAAATGAATTTATTTCAATGTTCAAGTACATATTTTTTAGAATTATATAATTGTATATAATTGTATCAATGAAATCATTTTCTCTCAATGCAATTTTCTATTCTCAATTTATTATATTGTTGCGAATTTATTATTTCTTATTTTTTATTAGATATAGATTTAATTGAAGTATCATACGATGAAGAAACAATTTCTATCAATGTGACACGTTATCATGTTAATGATAAAAAAAACACAGAAATACAATACATATATCTATCACCAATTTAAAAAAATAGAATATCATTTCTCCGCGCTGAAATGTCCATATATAAATCTCTATAAAAAATAAAAGCTATTTATCCAACAATGTGAATAAATAAATCTTATTCATTCACATTGTTTACAAGTATTTCTTCATCTATAAAGATTTATCCTTTCTTTTCATATAATTATATTTTAAATCCTAAAATAAATCAATTATATTTATTTGCTAGCTTTTGATTTTAGATAAAACAATCTTTTGTTTTAATAAGCTTTTATTATTGAAAAACATGAAGAAATATACGTGAACAAATACTGTATGATTTATATATATTTTTTATTTTCTAACACTATTAAGACATACATCCATCAAAAGAAAAATAAATAAATAAATATTTATATATAAAAGATAAATCATAAATATGTTTTCAAATTTATAAGCGTGCCTCCAGATAAAAAAAATGTTCTTATGAATATTAGATAACAAACACTTTATTGTCAAAATAATAAATACATATAATAGTATCAAATAATAACTTTACTTAAAAGTTTCGGGTGGATATCATTTTGTACGATGCTCAAAGTTTTGTTCATCATACATGAGTACGATTTAATACTCAGTCATTTCAAATCTATATTTATATAAATTATTTCAACGATGAAACATGCGTGTTCGTGTATATTGAGAGAAAAATTTTTAATATTTATAACCACAATTATGATTATTATGTAACATTATATGGCTGTCCTAAAAAAAATGAGTGTAAATTATAATTAAATTATACTAAACTATTTTTATTGTAATAATAATAATTTCATTATAATGAAAATAATATTCGAAATTATTATAATGAATACAAAATTATTTTCAATATCGTCAACTACATATACATTTGTTGATAGAACTATACATATATATAATTATTATTTTTAACATTAAGGCAATAATAATCATAATTACGATAATATGCACTTTAGTAGTTATAAATATTAAAAATTTGTCTCTCAATTTATGAACACACTTTTCTTCTTTCTTATTCAGAAATACATTCATGAAATTTTAAAACAAACTTATGACTTAATCTATATTTTGATTACTAAGATGAATTTATACGTGTTTAATAATAATTATAATTAATTCTTATTATTAAATTAATGACACAAAAAAAAATATTAATTATATATTTATAATTTTTTTCTTTCAAAAAAAAATATATAATTAATTTCTGCATTATAGGAAAAGACCTTGAAGAGCATCGTCTCGGGAGATTTACAACCCGTTTCGTTCAAGGATCGCGCGACCCAAAAGCAGTCGGGCCTTGAAGTCTCGCAGCATACCAACATGCGAGGAACAAGCGATCGCAAGAATCACCTGGATGACGCATAACTCACTTACCTTTCTCTGCGTAATCGCAATTGTCGTCGGTCTGTCCCACGAGTTTTCTTCCTTAAGAATCGTATCAACGCTCGGTTACCGAAAGCGATAGGTCGCCCTGACATTGCGCTCGATGCACTTGTAATCACACAAATATAGATGAACTGAGTCCTCCACTATTGCAATTAACAGCATTCTTATTGTATAAGACAACGACGATGTTCTCATTACGCGAGTGCAACGTATCGCTGTTCTTATCCCTGGGGATATCGATCGCGGAAGTTCGCCGCGCTATCGATCGACCGGCTATCAACCTGGAGTTGTTTCTTACGTCTCCACCGCTGCCTCGTGCACCGCAGCTCGATGTCATACACTGCCCCAGAAGGAAACGTTTATTCAGTTCGAGACTCGTCGCGAATCGTCCCGCTATTTCTCGATCTTTCCTTGTTCGGAGCAAGGCTACGCGAATGGAAAGTCCGTCGAATTGCGACACACACTACTCCGTTCATTCGTTCACAACTCGCTCGAGCATATCCGGTTACGAATTCACTTGTGCGGGTATAATCGCAAGAATGATCGATGATTCCAGCGAGCACTGCACCGTCAGATTGGGAATGACTCGCGTGAATTACGACGCAACGATATTCTGCAGTTCTCCAATTATTCGCAATGAATAACGTTCATTTTAGCTTTGTAGAAAAATCGTAAGGAAGATCGATTCTCAGATAACCCCACTGTTTACTTCAGAGCAACGAAACAGAAATCTTCTATGTTGGAGCAAATTACGAGAGTCTCTCGGCATGCGTCTGATTTGCGATAGGACCATCTCGCAATGGACATCCAGCCGCTTCTGCAAGAAAGATCAAGAAACTTGGTTTTAATCTCTCACCTTTGTTATTCCTGTAAATTGTTTCCACGTATTTATCTAGATGACGCATCCTATAAGATGTAATAGGCATTAGATTACATATTTCTTGATCTTATCATCTGTACTCCATTAAAAAGAATTGAATCATATCAGCATTTCTTCAACTTTAGATGAGGAATTTTGTAACAATTCTGCGAGACAGAAAGGTAGATATACTATCTCATATTAGCTTACTGTCTCATTCTATATTTTATTAAGATTATAGAATGAAATAGTATAAATTAGAGTGTGATTAGATAATGGTATATACAGAGAGAAAATATTTCTTTCTGATAGGATTTTGACAAAATCGCTGGCCGAACTATGTTATAGAATATTTATTCAACTCTATCTCAACATCTCTTTTCAATTCGATATTCTAGAAAGAGAGAGAGAAAGAGAGAGAGAGAATGAATGATTCAAGTTACTTCACTCTTTCTAAAACGATAATGATATAAACATAACAAAAACAGACTTGTGCATTTCTATAAAGTCATTCTCTTAAAAAGAGGTATCATATTGTTTATTTTTTTTGAAGTTTAAAGTTCGAAGAAAGGGATACTGATATGCTTAATTCCGTCTAACAAAACAGGAATCAAAATATCTCCAAAATAATTGTTAAAAATCTCTCTTCGATTATAACGTTATCTTGACTTATTGTTTTGCTTGATACATTATCTCGCTTTCCAATCGCGTCATATGTTTCAAACGTTAGCATTTTTAAAAGACCGGTCTGACATTTCCTACGAATGACTAAACATTTGTGATGTAACACGTATTTTCGAATTGCGTGTATGATTAATAAAAGTCACTATATAATACACAAAAAATACCCGCGCGTTTATTTTGCAAGCAATCAGGAATTATTCATTTCATGTAAACAGCAATTACGTACTCGATGTTGCGACTCGAAATATCAATTATCAAACAGTGTAACCCAGGCTGAGTAAAAATAATATCGAAATGATGTGAAAATGGCTCCAAAATGATTATTAAAAATCATCACTTTTTTGGAATTTTAATTTTAATTAAAATATATAAATGAGTTTTCATAGTCAATTCAGTTGTTTTTCTACGACTTTGAGTTTTTGATTAATCCTACATTTGATTTAATTTCATCTTTTGGTAATGAAACAAAACAGTCATGATTTAAATCTGTTCTACAATGTGCTTTTTGTTTCCTGTTTCTTGCCTTTTATTATTTTTTACATCTTGTCTTTTTGCTTCTTATCCGGTTTTTTTATTTTATATCGCCCGAGATAAAAGTTAACGAACTTCGAAAGAAACAAGAAATACGTAATAAAAAATACAATTGTTGATAAAACGATTATAAAGAAGAAAAAAGCAAAAGGTAAAAAACAAGAAACAGAAAACAAAGAGCACATTGTAGAATAGGCTTTATAGTAACATTACTGCTAATTCTAACATTACTGCGAATTGTTCTTCTTGAGAAGCTATGCGAAGTCTATATACTCGATTCTCGCGTCGCTCGGCGCGAGTTTCGAGTCGCGAAGGAAAAGTGATATTGAACCGCGCGTAGGCGGATTTAATCGCGCTGATTTCGCGTGTTTGGCACGCGGACGCTCGAAAATCGGTTTGGCGCGAATCGACTTATGAGTGTGGGTGGAGAACGCCTAGCGTCTCTGCACGAGCGATAGAGCGATAGAGTCGCAATTACGTCGCATTATCCTTGAGCGGCGATAAAAATGTGACGGTCACGGACGACACGTGCGACAGTTCACGTTTATCGATTCGTAGCGTCGGTTTAGCGGCATCATCAACCCTTGCGGATAAATCCAATAAAGAGGATGTGGATCTAAACCCACCCCGACTCTGATCGACGTTAATTTGATCGATTACCATACGATCACGTTCCCCTCGCGATCAACCCTCGAATGTGTCTTTGTTTGTCTTTCGTCAATTTACTAATGGCCATCTACACTGTATCGTTAAATTCATAATGTAAATTATACCTGTTTGAGTCATGTTTAATAATTTCTATAGATCGCCACTGCTTCCAATATGTCGTTAATTTGACTAAAACAATGGAATCAATTTAACTAAAAAGATATTAAATTTGAAAGTATTAAATTTGACTCAAATTCAGTTTATTATTTATTAAGTGTGTACGTTAATATGATGTTTACTTTGAAAATAACTACTGAAATAGATTGCGTTTTGACACAGAAAGTTCAAAATAACAAAATGTTATTTAACTCAAGAATTGGATTACCATCGCGCTCCTTTCATATCTAACAATTATAATATTTTATAATATTTTTTTCTCTAAACGAAGGATACAAACTTCTTGAGACGCTATCTATGCGTTTTTTCGTCGCTTTCGATAAATATTTTACGTCTTATAAAGCCTCGATATTTATGACACGATAAATGTTTAAAATTCCTTTTTTAAAAATTTGAAAAATGAACACTAGTACATAACATACACACACACACACACACACACACACACACACACACACACACACACACATGCCTCTCCACTTCTCACGAACTCACTGCGAAACACGCACGCTGAGAATGTGGGAAAGTCACGAATCTCGTTCACAAACATAGATCACGCACGCGAGGTCTACCTGTTCGCCGTGGCGCAGTCGGCCAGGTAGTGAGTCACTAGTCGTGAGTGGAAAATAAATATTACGGAATCGTGCAGCATGCTCCACGAGAGCGATCAGCACCGCTCTCCCACCATGTTGTAGCGCGGTTGAAAGTAATTCGTTCGGCTCGGCGCACCCGCTCGCGACTTGGCCGCCTCTTTGTGTCGGCTCGCGCAAATACGGATAAATTTACGACAACAATTTGCATTTTGTTTACATTACCGAAAGATGGAATCAAATCTGAAAATTCTGCGATTAATCAAAAACGTAAAGTCACAGAAAAAATAGATCAGCCATAAACATCCACATTACTTATCGAACTCGTCGAATTAAAACAAAAATTACAAATAAATCTATAAATCATTAGATAGTTTTAAATATTTTCACGAATAATCTGATAAATGAATAAAACAAAATTATGATTAGATTAAATAGAAGAAAATTAATACATCTTTTTATGTAGACACAAAAATCATTATTATTCTAGCGACGTCAAATGGTCCATCCTCCTAATGCAATTCCAATTGGATAAGAGATGCAGCACACAACAGATCGCAATGTCATCAAGATCTTATCGAATTTCACAATAATCTTCTACGGATATATTCGCGCTGCACACTCTTTAACAATCGCCGCTTCGGTATCGATCGAAGCGTATCCGAGCGACCGCCAAAATCGTTCCGCGTCGAGCCCGAGAAATGGCGAGGTAGGTACTGATGTGCGATGGAATTTTGCGACGAATCCTTTGTGTATTAGGACCGGAAAGGCAAATGGAAATACTCAAGAGAAGTGTACCGCACGATGGTCGGTCGGAACCTGAAAGATCCCTCGCGTTCGTTACTCGCGCGCAACGAGTAGAACCGATCGACCTAGCGACCTTCCCCTCCGGAGGTGAACTAACGTCTCCCCCGTCTGCATCCTCGAGCGTGTATCCCCTCCACTTGACCCACCTGGTCAAACCACCACCTGACTGAATCCCACCGAATATCCACGGATAGTATCCAACTCCCATGAGGTTCTCATACAACGAAGAGCGGATCCTCGAATCGTCGATCAACAGCTTAATTATTTTTTCGTCTCTCATCAATTATATGGAAACACGTGGAGAACGTCGGCTTCCTGAGATGCGTTCCAAAACTTGACTCTGTCAATTCCAAATATCTTTTGTCCTTGTTTAACATTCGGTGAATAAAGATAAAATAATATTCGGGTTGACAGAGTCGAGTTTTGAAATGCAACCCTGATAAGCGAAAGGAGACGTCAAAATTCAAAAAGAAAAATGTTTGAGACCAGAAACTCAATTATGTAAATTTTTCTTATACATATATAATGTGGAAAATACATATACACATATAAAATATATATACATATAAACATATATACATACATATATATAAAAAAATGTTCACATTTTCATTCTAAGGAAAAAGTTACATGAATGATCCTCTGGCTCTATAACAGCAATTTATTGATGATACATTAATTAAATATTGAGATATATATATAAATATATACCAATATTGTATCAATAAACTGTGCACTTATTTTAATGATCAAGTAGCTTTTTTTTTAAACGAAAACGTGAAAAATGAAAATTTTTATTATAAAGATGATTGAGAAGTTTTTCACTTTATACGTTTCCGCCGTATATAGGAAAAAAGTTATATGATTGCTACCTTGAGATAATTTTGTAAATTATATGTCGTCTCTCACAATATTGAATAAAATATCCAACATTTTCTAATTACGAAAATATAAAAGTATTATCTGTATTAGCAGTCTGAATTTTTTTGTGCGTCTATTTGTAGGAAACGATTAACACTAATGAGAAAGAAAAATTGAGTGCACGCAATACTTCACGAAGAAACCTCTTTTAGTTATACTTATTCTTTGATCTTATTTACAAACGCAAACACATAACGTGGATTACCTTAACGATCAATAAACGATCAATAAATATTAAGTGAAGCAATTTATATTAGATACATTTCTGATTATCGCATTGCGATAGATCTTCGCTTGAATATCACGAAATGAGATCAATTCGATCATAAAATCTTCATCGCGTGAGATTTTATATTATTTTATATTATGTAATAAATTACATATGTAGAGAACGAAACATAACATGCTTAACAATTAACAACTTAAGAAT